CCCCGCGCCTGTGTACCGCCATTACACCTTGTGGATGGATTGTAAAAGGATTGTGAAAGTGCTTGAAGACGAAATGCACCGAAGACGGGAGGTGCACAATCTGGACGTTTTACAACGCACCCCATGCGATAATGCGATACATGCGTCCAGCCTCTCTCACTGCAGCGCAGCAGACTAGACGCGTACAGCCTTGGTGTTTACCACGGCGCAACATTGCCTGTGAATGCTGCTCGGTTTTGTATACAACTTGACGTTGCTACTGCTGCTGCTGCTGCTGCTGCTGCTGCTTGCTGCTGCTATCGGCGTCGAAGGCACTCGTATAGCGGCGGTGACGGGTTGGCCTCTGGAGGAGCACAACTCACCTCCACTACTGTCGACCACCTGACCCTATCTCGAGAGTCCCCCTACCCGTTCGAGAGGTGAGAGGGCTTTGAGCTGCTCATCTTGGGTTCGAAGGCAACGTGCACAGCTGTTATTTTTGGCCTATTCAACCTTTTCATGACATGATCGCCCATGTACGGTGAGCATACCGTGCATCGGTAACACAAGATATCACACCCCCTGAACCGTTTTTTCCGAGCTCGACTGCGACGAGGATGCATAATTCATTCGGAAAGCTCACGACGACGCGTTTCCTACGTCGTCGTTTCGGCGCTACTTTGGAGAAAATGAGATTCGACAATTGGCCCAGGGAGTGCGGTATCTTGCGTAGCTTACCCTACCTAGTGTACACATGCAATGGCTTACTTGCAAATTCCAGTGCACCGCAGTGGGAAAGGTGCGGCAACAAAACACAAGTAAAACAAAAAGCTCCTGTGTGACCTTCCGCTTGTGTGACCCCGGCTTATACGTCAGGTATACACGCCGAAAGGCCTGTAGACCGGCGCCAGAATAGGTGGGACGAAAACACCACTACACACACACCATTCCGGGAGCGCGCCGCTGCCGTCGTATCTTGTATGTATGCGGGGTATCCACGAAAGAAAGCGTCGTCACCGGGTAGGTTACAACCCGCAGAAAACAGGAAGTGGCTAGCCCGTCCTCTGTAACCTCGAGCTCTGCATCTCCGTTTCCGGTGGGCAGCACATATTGTTGAATTGTCAAGCGGCCGGTGCCCAACCAGAAAACGTAAAGAGAACACCGGCTTTCGATTGAGCTCGCACTGCTGGGTGACCGTTACTGGATAATCACTCCACGATCTTCCTCAGCTCTGCAGCCAGGGCTGTTCGAGGACTGGTGGCGACGAAGCGTTCCAAGCGATCAAGCCGTGGTGGCGGTAATGGAGCAACGGTACAGCCACGACCAGGTGAGGCTCGATCCCTCTCTCTCTCTCTCTCTCTCTCTCTCTCTCTCTCTCAATGCCCGGTCCCCGGTCCTCCTAACCCCCCCCCC